TTGGGGGACACTCGTAAGAGGTTCCGCTGTATTCTGTTAATAAAGAATCATAACTGTACACTAGCATAATGCATACACAGTAACTATGAACTTCTGCTTACATAAGAAAATACTTACGTGCGAGTGGCTTTACTGTTTTCCCGAAGTGAAAATTTTCTTCTCGACTTTGGCCGACCATTGCTATCTAAACCCGTTCTTACAATTTCCTCTGCAAAAGTAACACCCAAATTTAGTCTAAGAACAACATTAATGTAAAAACTTACGTACTAAATGTTTTAATTCTGACCTCTAAAAATGTAATGAATTTTAATGCACCAAGGTCACCCACCAAGGAAGAGCGACCTAAGAAACACATTCACCACCATTCATTAACCTTTTCACTGTCGAGACCCTTAATCCTGAACAGACTGTCAAAAAACTTAAAAAAAATTTCTTTCCAAAAGCTTAATAATATGTTTGCGAGTGTTTTAAAAGGAAAAAAAAAATTTCACTCAGTACTTACCGAGATACAGAGGCGTGAAGGTGACAAAGTGAACTGCTTACGGCAAAATTGGCAACTGCCGCTCACTCAGTAATACTATTTTTATTATTCTGTTTTTTTTTTTCCTTTTCTTTCCTAATATTTTCTTTTTTCAAGTAACTTTTGTGGCCTGTGAGACCAATATAATGCATAATGAATATATATATCCACTCACTGTATGCAACACAATAACTGCACAAACATTGTTATCATTATATTGTTTACAAAACACGTTTACACAAACCCACGCTACCTTCCCCATCACCCACACTGCCTTCCCACCAACCATGCCATCTCCCCCACCACCCACATGGAAATAAGTCACTTTGACTTTTTTGGATTATCCTAGGTAATCTACACATGTGCTGCTATGTTGTTTACACAAACCCACACTGCCTTCCCCAACACCCACGCTGCCTTCCCCAACACCCACGCTGCCTTCCCCACCACCCACACTGCCTTCCCCACCACCCACACTGCCTTCCCTACCACCCACACTGCCTTCCCCACCACCCACACTACCTTCCCCAACACCCACGCTGCCTTCCCCACCACCCACGCTGTCTTCCCCACCACCGACATGGAAATAAATCACTCTGTCTGACTTTTTTGGTGGATGGTGGAAGGTTGATAATCATCTGGGTTTTCAGCACTATTTCTGGTATCCTGGGAATTGCTTTCTGTCACAAACTCCTCAAAACCATGAGATTCATCCTCACTGACACTTCAATCAGTGTTAGAACTATCACTTGGGAATGGACGAGTCCAAGTTCGCCAGGGTGTGAGGTATTCCTTACCGCTAGGCTTGGTGGACCAAGGAAGTACTGAATTAGCACTCACAATGGCACTATGCCCCTCCCATTTTTTTTTTTTTATACTGCTTCACTGACCAAGCAGATCTATTCTATCATATATAGGTCTTCCTAGCTTATCTCCTGTAGATTTGATGCCGCTAGATTTATTGGTGTATTAATACGTTCTCCACACTGGCTGTAAGCCGTACCTATATGCACCAACAGTGAAGGGTTTTTAAATACATGTCTTGCCAGAAGTGTGGAGGACCACAATTCAAATGACCCTCTGAACTGTAACTTCCCCATCCCTCCATTCCAAGTTCAGGCACTGTACTTCCCCTCCAGGTTTTCAAGTGTACTAACAGGCTTTTTCCTATATCCCTTCACCAACTGTCACCTTACTTATACTCCAACAACTCATGCACTCTGATCTTAAACATTCACCAAAAGGCCCGCCATTTTTTTTTAACCCGTTAACTGTCCAAATGTAGTCTACGTTCTCTCACCCAGTGCTCTGGATTATTTTGGGAAAAAAAAAAAAAAAAAATAAAAAAAAAAATTTAATATATATATATATTATATATATATATATATATATATATATATATATATATATATACTATGTTATATAATTTATATATATGATATATATTATATATATATATATATATATATAGATATATATCACACACAGAAATAAAGGAGTGCATTTTTCTGTGTCATAGAAAAAAAAAAAATTTTAGTGCCAGAACTTTACCGGGATATGAGCCTGTGAAGTTGACTCTGATGCTCATGCTGAATGCCACATCGAATCCTGCCGCTTGCAGAGTGTGCCGATATACTTTTTTCTTTTTATGATATTTTTATAAAATTTTTGTTATGATAATTACAATTTATCTAGGTAGTAGGTTGGGTAGCAGCAAACCTCCCAGGGAGGTAATTACCGTTCCTGCCAATGTGAATGTTAAACCGAAGGCCTGTAATTGTTTTACATGTGGTAGGATGCTGGTGTCTTGTGTCTGTCTCATAACATGCAAAGATTTCAGGTTAGTCTTGCTTACTTCTACTTTTTAACACTTAGGTCACAATACACATCATGTACAAGGCATATATTATACATACATTACCCCTCTGGGTTTTCTTCTATTTTCTTTTAGTTCTTGTTCTTGTTTATTTCCTCTTATCTCATGGGGAAGTGACAGTAGTCTTCCTCCGAGTTAAGCCTTGCGTGTTGTAAGAGGCGACTAAAATGCCGGGTGCAAGGGGCTAGTAACCTCTTCTCTGTATATATTACTAAATTTGAAGGAGAAACTTTCGTTTTTCTTTGGGCCACCCCGCTCGGTGAGATACGGCCGTGTGTTGAAAGAAAGGAAGAAAGAATTACAATTTATAGTAGCTGTTGTGATTCCATAGCCAATTTTGTTCTGACACTAAATATTAGGTACTGAAAATAGTACTCAAAAGTCGAAAACACAATGACAGATGAAAACATTTTCACCTTCCTTAGTTAAAAACTTACATACTATTATATAGAAAATATATACATAGTATTTATAGGTCCAGCAATGTTTTGGATACACGGGTGTATATAATAATAATTTAATAAATAATATTAATAATAATATAATAATAATTATTATTATTTTTTTTGTTTTTTAACAAGTCGGCCGTTCTCCACCGAGGCAGGGTGGACCCAAAAAAGAAAGGAAAAATCCCCAAAAAGAAAAAACTTTCTATCTCATTCAACACTCTTCACCACACTCCACATTAATCACTGTTTTTTCAGAGGTGCTAGAATACAACAGTCTTGATGCATACACATATAAAGATACACAACTATCCCTCCAAACTGCCAATATCCCAAACCCCGCCTTTAAAGTGCAGGCATTGTACTTCCCATTTCCAGGACTCTAGTCCGACTATATGAAAATAAGCGGTTTCCCTGAATCCCTTTCACTAAAATATACCCTGCTCACACTCCAACAGATCGTCAGGTCCCAAGTACATTCGTCTCCCATTTCACACCTATCAACAGCTCACGCGACGCTTGTGGATAAGTCCAAGCCCCTTGCCCACAAACCTCCTTTAACCCCCTCTTTCCAAACCCTTTCGAGGACGACCCCTACCCTGCCTTCCTTCCTCTATAGATTTATATTGCTTTCCTTGTCATTATACTTTGATCCATTCTCTCTAAATGACCAAACCACTCAACTACCCTCTTCTGCCCTATGACTAATACTTTTATTAAACTCACCATTCTCCTAATTTCCACACTCAGATTTTCTGTGCATAATATTTACACCAACACATTGCCCTTAAAACAGGACATCTCCACGCCTCCAACCGTCTTCTCGGTGACTGCCATTTACCACCCAAGCTTCCCAACCCATATGAAGTGTTGGTACTACATACTTTCATACATTCCTTCTTTTGCCTCCATAGATAACGTTTTTTGACGCCACTATACCTCACGCAACAACTCACCTTTGTTACTCATCATTTCTTTGATTTAACTCATCCTCATAAATCCATCCGCGGGACACGTCAATCCCCACGTATCTGAAAAAACATTCACTTCTTCCATACTCCTCCTCCCAATTTGATATCCAATTTTTCCTTTATCTAAATCATTTGACACCCTCATCACCTTACTCTTTTCTATGTGCACTTTTCATCTTCTACCTTTACCACACATTCCCAAACTCATCCCACTAACCTTTGCAATTTTTCTTTAGAATCACCCATAAGCACAGTATCTTCGCAAAAAGAAACTGTGTTCAATTCCCATTTTGAATTAGATTCCCCAAAATTTAATCCCAACCCCTCTCCCGTAACACCCTAGCAGTTACTTCTTTTCAACCCCATCTAAAAATATATAACAACCTGGTGACATTACCCCATCCCTGGTCTAAAGACCTACTTTTATACCGGGGGAAGTGTCTCCCTCTTTCTACCACACCCTAATAATAATAATAATAATAATTTCCCTTGAAACCTGATGTAAGAATTTGTCACTTGTCTTATCTTATACCTCACTGTGACTATGGGACAGTTGCGAGCACTGTTTTATCATATTCACGCCACTAATTGAAAGTGGGTGACATTTGATGAGTGTCGCCTTATTTTATCCACTCCATCTAATTGACAGTGGTGACATTTTCATGAGCCTTCACGTTATTTGTTGTCACGTTACACAAACATGTCTGTCTATCTGTCTGACTAGCTCTCTGTCCCATCTGTCTGTGTGTGGTTTCTTCGACTGGTTTGTCTCTCTTGTCTCGAAGGTTTACTCATGAACCAAACTGGTATTACACACGATCACTATCTACAAGCATAGTTTAGCACTTCGTCTGGATTTGTGGGTTATCTAGTAATTTACAACTCTGTATATTTGTATTTAAATTGTGGGGAAATCAAATACAAAATGGGATTGGACTGTGCTTTTTGTGATGTACTGTGTTATGGGAATATTTTAAAGATAAAGTGCTAAAAGTTAGAGGATGAGTTTGGGAGTGTGTGTAAAGGTAGAACGTTGAAAGTGAACATAGAAAAAGGTAAGGTGCTGAGGGTTATCAAATGTTTTAGATAAAGAAAAATTGGATATCGTAGTTGGGAGGAGTATGGATGAAGTGAATGTTTTCAGAAATTTGGTGAGGTGGAAGTGTCGCGGATGGATTTATGAAGGATGAGGTTAATCATAGGAATTGATGAAGGAAAAAAAGGGGCGAATGGTGCGTTGCTGAGGTATATGTGGAGACAAAAAATCGTTAACTATGGAGGCAAAGAAGGGGAATTTATGAATGTATAGTAATACCAACACCTCTTATATGGGTGAGAAGCTTTAGGTTGTAAAATGCTGCAATCGAGGAGCGGTTGGAGGCGTGGAGGATATCCTGTCTAAGGGCAAATGTGATGGTGTATTATTATGCAGAAAATTCCGGAGTGTGGAAATTGGGAGAAGGTGTTGTCGAGTTTAATAAAAAGTACTAGTCAGTGGGCTGAGAGGGGTTGTTGAGGTGGTTTTGGTCATTTAAAGGAATGGATAAAAGTAGAAAGACATGGAGAGCGTATTTTAAATTGTAGGGAAAGGAAGGCGGGGTAGGCGGTCGTACTAGAAAAGTGTTGGATGGGAAGTGGTAAAGGAGGTTTCTTGTGTGGGAGAAGGGCTATGTCTTCCAGCAAGCGTGCGTCGAGCGTGTTAGATAGGAGGTGAATGGAGACAAATGCGTATTTGGGACCTGACGAGCTGTTGGAGTGTGAACAGGGTAATATTTAGTGTAGCACTTCATGGAAACCGGTTATTTTTATATAGCAGACTTTTTTTATTTTTTATTATTATCACACTGGCCGATTCCCACCAAGGCAGGGTGACCCGAAAAAGAAAAATTCCACCATATTCACTCCATTCACTGTCTTGCCGAAGGGTGCTTTACACTACTGTTTTTAAAACTGCAACATTAACACCCCTCCTCAGAGTGCATGGCATGATCAATTTCCGGCTGCGGGTTTCCCTGAATCCCTTCATAAATGTTACTTTGCTCACACTCACAGCAACATCAAGTATTAAAAACCATTTGTTCCATTCATACCTATCAAAACACGCTCACGCATGCCTGCTGGAAGTCCAAGTTCTGCACACAACCTCTTTACCCCTCCTCCAACCTTTCCTAGGCCGACCCCTATACCCCGCCTTCCTTCCACTACAGACTGATACACTCTTGAAGTTATTCTGTTTCGCTCATTCTCTCTACAAGTCGAACCACCTCAACAACCCTTCCTCAGCCCTCTGCGACAACAGTTTTGGTATACCGCACCTCCTCCTAACTTCAAAACTATGATTCTTGCATTATATTCACACCACACATTGCCCTCAGACATGAAATCTCCACTGCCTCAGCTTTTATCCTCGCTCTGCAACATTTCTTCACCCATGCTTCACACCCACATAGAGCGCTGGTAAAACTATACTCTCATACATTCCCCTCTTTGCCTCCAAGGACAAAGGTTCTTGTCTCCACAGACTCCTAAGTGCACCGCTCACCCTTTTCCCCCTCATCAATTCTATGATTCACCTCATCTTTCATAGACCCATCCGCTGACACGTCCACTCCCAAAAAATATTCTGAATACATTCACCTCCTCCATACTCTCTACCTCCTATCTGATATCCAATCTTTCATCACCTAATATTTTTATTATCCTCATACCCTTACGCTTTCTGGATTCACTTTTAATTTTCTTCTTTTGCATACCCTACCAATTCATCCACCAACCTCTGAATTTCTTCGGAATCTCCCAAGAGCACAGTGTCTTCAGCAAAAGAGCAACTGTGACAACTCCCACTTTATGTGTGATTCTTTATCTTTTAACTCCACGCCCTCTTGCCACAAGACCTCACATTTACTTCTCTTACAACTCATCTATAAATTATTAAACAACCACGGTGACATCACACATCCTTGTCTAAGGCCTACTTTTACTGGGGAAATAATCTCCCTCTTTCCTATATACTCTAACTTGAGCTCACTATCCTCATAAAAACTCTTCACTGCTTTCAGTATCCTAACTCCTACACATTACACCTGCAACATCTGCCACACTGGCCCCTATCCACCCTGTCATACGACTTTTCCAAATCCATAAATGCCACAAAAACCTCTTTCGCCTTATCTAAAACTGTTTCCTTATATGTTTCACTGTAAAAACACCTGAGCCACACACCCCCTACCTTTCCTAAAGCCTCCTTGGTTCATCTGCTATCTTATTCTCCATCTTACCTTAATTCTTTCAACAATAACTCTACATACACTTTTCCGGTATACTCAACAGACTTATCCGCCTATAATTATTTGCACTCTCTTTTGTCCCCTTTGCCCTTTATACAAAGGAACTATGCATGCCTGTCTGACTATCCCAAGGTACCTTACCCTCTTCCATACATATTATTAAATAATTGCCACCAACCACTCCAAAACTATATCCCCACCTGCCTTTTAAATTTCTATCTTTATCCATTCAATCCCGGCTGCCTTACCCCCTTTCATTTTACCTACTGCCTCACGAACTTCCCCCACACTCACAACTGACTGACTCTTCCTCACTCCTACAAGATGTTATTCCTCCTTGTCCTATACACGAAATCACAGCTTCCCTATCTTCATCAACATTTAACAATTCCTCAATATATTGCCTCCATCTTCCCAATACCTCTAACTCTCTAATTTTAAAAACCATAATAATAGTGCCACTGAGTTTGTACATGTCAGAAAACAAGTAGATGAATGGATTAGCAGGCAAATTTAGTACTACAATTCTGCATTTGTTTAAAACATACAGCAGCTAACTTTCTCCTTAGTTTTTAACAAATTAAGGACCCCGTTGTAATATATCTCATATACAGTACAGTACTGAAACTGAATTCTTTGGAGAATAAAGAAATCTGTTTTAGAACTCTGAAAATGATATGAATTCTGTTATTTGTTCTCTTAACAAATCTAACCTTGTATCAACACTCATTTATATGTTATCAGGCATTATTTGCTTGCAAATATTATTTGTGATTCACTCAGTCTCTCATTTTTAGCCTGCATGTGGTCACATGATGAGCTTTCTCTTGACGCTCAGCCACAATTGTCTCACCTTTGTGCAAGTTCCTGAGGTAGGCCACATGTGGCAGGTCGCTAATCATAACCATGTTGAGGATCCCAGTATGCATTAAAGGCTTGGTGCGCTTAAGGTTAATAGTCTGAACCCAGTCTCCAGACAGCACCTCAAAAACATCTATATGGATATCACTATACACAAGTAAAAGCCCATCACACACAGCTGAAAATGAAACAGATCTTAGTTAATGTGAATGCAATATGAGCTTTTACATAATTTAACTAAAGTACCTTACATACACATAACATGTACGATGTATAATGTTGCTTCCAGAAGAATCAAGGGGGGAGGTATTTATAGTTAAGAAATTTAAAAAAAAAAAAAAAAAAAAAGGCTACTAAAAAGGATGTGCAAGTGAGTTTGCAAGGGTAGAATAATAATAATTAATAACTTTGGACTTCATAATTTTTGAGTGCCTATGCTTTCAATAAATTCACCAGCACTCGCACATCAAACCATAAACACAACTGTGCATACAGTGAAGTCATCTTGCAAGAAGACTGCAATGTATGCACAGCTTGCAAATGTAGGCTAATACTTGTGTTAACAGAGAAACTGGGAAGAAAGAACAATAACTGGGATACTGTCCAGTCCAGAGACATCACATGCCAAGGTTGCTGGGAAGAAGTGGCAAGAAAAACTGAAAGCTTGTAATTCTTCCTTACTGGGAATGTGGCTGAATCAGATATTCTACAATGAAGCATGAAATACCAAGGATATATAGGTGAAAGTTCTCAATCTTGAGAAAAAGGGAGGTGTCAGGATAGCAATTTGCCAGAAATATCCAGATGTCCTAGAAAGCAGCAACTTCACTCTGACTGTACCCTTCTCCAGAACATCACTCCATCTGAGATCATATATACGCAGGATGACTCGAGTATGGAACACATTCGTACAGCATAATGATATTTATTTATTTATTTATTATCACACTGGCCGATTCCCACCAAGGCAGGGTGGCCCGAAAAAGAAAAACTTTCACCATCATTCACTCCATCACTGTCTTGCCAGAAGGGTGCTTTACACTACAGTTTTTAAACTGCAACATTAACACCCCCTCCTTCAGAGTGCAGGCACTGTACTTCCCATCTCCAGGACTCAAGTCCGGCCTGCCGGTTTCCCTGAACCCCTTCATAAATGTTACTTTGCTCACACTCCAACAGCACGTCAAGTATTAAAAACCATTTGTCTCCATTCACTCCTACCAAACACGCTCACGCATGCCTGCTGGAAGTCCAAGCCCCTCGCACACAAAACCTCCTTTACCCCCTCCCTCCAACCTTTCCTAGGCCGACCCCTACCCCGCCTTCCTTCCACTACAGACTGATACACTCTTGAAGTTATTCTGTTTCGCTCCATTCTCTCCACATGTCCGAACCACCTCAACAACCCTTCCTCAGCCCTCTGGACAACAGTTTTGGTAATCCCGCACCTCCTCCTAACTTCCAAACTATGAATTCTCTGCATTATATTCACACCACACATTGCTCTCAGACATGACATCTCCACTGCCTCCAGCCTTCTCCTCGCTGCAACATTCATCACCCATGCTTCACACCCATATAAGAGCGTTGGTAAAACTATACTCTCATACATTCCCCTCTTTGCCTCCAAGGACAAAGTTCTTTGTCTCCACAGACTCCTAAGTGCACCGCTCACCCTTTTCCCCTCATCAATTCTATGATTCACCTCATCTTTCATAGACCCATCCGCTGACACGTCCACTCCCAAATATCTGAATACATTCACCTCCTCCATACTCTCTCCCACCAATCTGATATCCAATCTTTCATCACCTAATCTTTTTGTTATCCTCATAACCTTACTCTTCCTGTATTCACTTTCAATTTTCTTCTTTTGCACACCCTACCAAATTCATCCACCATCTCTGCAACTTCTCTCAGAATCTCCCAAGAGCACAGTGTCATCAGCAAAGAGCAACTGTGACAACTCCCACTTTGTGTGTGATTCGTTATTTTTTTAACTCCACACCTTTTGCCAAGACCCTCGCATTTACTTTTTAAAACCCCATCTATAAATATTTAAACAACCAGGGTTTACACCCACAACCCTTTTGTCAAAGGCCTATTTTTACCGCGAAAAAAATTTCCCTTTTTCCTACTACTCAAACTTAAAGCCTCACTATCCTGAAAAAAACTCTTCATGTTTCAGAAAACCAAACCCCCTACCCCCATACACCGGCAACATTCCCCCCCAAACCCCCCTGTCTACCCCTTTTTTCCAAATCCAAAAAATCCAAAAAGGGCCCTCTTTAGCTTATCTAAATACTGTTCACTTATTTTTTTCACTGTAAAAAACCGGCCCAAAACCCCCCCCTCCTTTTCCAAAAGGCCTCCTTGTTATTGTATCCATTCCCCCATTTACTCTTAATTTTTCCCAAAAATTTAACTCTACCATACACTTTCCCCAGGTATACCCCAACAGATTATCCCCTATAATTTTTGCATTTCTTTTTTTCCCCTTTTTCCTTTATACAAAGGACCTATCCCATGCTCTCTGCCAACCCCTTGGTACTTCCCCTCTTCCAAAACATTTATTAAAATAATTTCCCAAAAAACCCAATCCAAAATATATCCCCCCCTGTTTTTAAAATTAATTTTAGCAAAAATGATGTCAACGAAATAAAGTCAGTTGATCAAATGAAAAATTTCTGGCCCCAGATGGCTCCACTTCATCCTGTTCCCCACTTTATGTCCCCCATAACAAATTTAAAAAAGTTTTCAAATGAGCTGATGTAGGTAACAACTCTTGTTGCCAATAAAGTTAGGAATCTTTAACCTGTAAACAGCTTGTCAATAAAGATAGGGAACCTTAGAAAAAAAAAAAAAAGCTTCTTTAGCTAAGGTGAAGAAAATAGTATTCCTTAGAGGGCATAATTTTAAATATTGCTCCAATATCATTAACCCTTTCAGGGTTGGTGCTGTACTAGTATAACTTGCATGCCAGGGTTGGTGCTGTATTAGTAGTTGATGCCAGGGTTGGTGCGTACTAGTAGGCTTGCATGCCAGGGTTGGTGCTGTACTAGTATGGCTTGCATGCCAGGGTTGGTGCTGTACTAGTATGGCTTGCATGCCAGGGTTGGTGCTGTACTAGTATGGCTTGCATGCCAGGGTTGGTGCTGTACTAGTATGCATAAATTCTAGCACCTTCAAATCTAGCAAGAGAAAGCTGGTAGGCCTACACATGAAAGAATGGGTCTACGTGGTCAGTGTGCGCAGTATAAAAAAAAATCCTGCAGCATACAGTACGTAACGAGAAAAAAAAACTCTGATCGTGTTTTTGGTTTAAAACAGCGACTTTGCAGGGTATTTTCGTATGCTATTTATGGTTGTATTCTAGTTTTCCTGGCCTCATTTTATAGAATGGAAGACATATCATGGAAATTTAGATAATTTTGATTGGCTTCACAATGAAAAGTACCTTGAAATTGAGCTCAAAGTAGCAGAAATGTTCAAATTTTTTTTCCAAAGCTCAAAGGTAAACAAATCATGCCATGCGTCCAATACACAACAAGTGGCGAGTCTAATATTCTTTCACATGTGCGCTGATATTATTTATACCATTTCTACACCATTTCTACATGAATGCAGTAGTCTGCATAACATAAATCTTCTATTCTTTGTGAGAATAAAAATTCAAAGTGGAAAGCAAAAGAAATGTAGCAGAGGCCTGGGAACATGAGTAATCAACAGAGGAAATGTTATTTTAGTGCCAGGAATGTCTTTCTTGTTTATTCTGGACCCTATTTGGAAATTGGCATCTTTTGAAATTTGTGTGAAATTGGCAAAATTGCCAATTTCTAACCACGTTATTGGTTAGTTGAAATCGGTAAATGGGTAGTTTCTTGTACTCATTCGATAGACAAAAGGAGTTACTAGCGAAATAGGTATGATTTTTATCAACTGGTACATTGGAATTGACCGATAATAGGGCTCAAAGTGGGCAAAATCACCTATGTGTAAACATCGTCGAGACCGCTAACTTTGCGAGAGCATAATTCCGTAAGTTTTCCATCAAATTTCATACTTTTGGTGTCATTATGATCGGGAAAAGATTCTCTATCATTTCATAAGAAAAAATAATAATTTTTTTTTTTTTTCAAAAAATTTCCGACCTGAGAACAAGTTTAGGAGGGCCTGCCAACCTGAAAGGGTTAAAAGTGGCATTTATAAGAGATTTTGGCAAGAAAAATAGCTGATCACATTCTGAATAAAATCTTGGTTGGCTATCAATACTGAGGTAATGTGTCAGGATAAATGAAAATGAGTATTGCAAAAAATCCAATTTCATGACATACGACATATGCACCAAAATGCCATATACACACAAAAAAAAGTATCTTTGATAATTCAACATAGTAGACATAACTGAAAACAATATCAGCATGTGAACCCAGCTCATAAGAAAAGAATAGCTATTACAGTACTTCTTGAAATATTACTCTAACTGCTTTAATATTTTATGCTGCGAAAGAGTGAACCAGAGAAAACAACTTAAGCTGTAGAAAATTGAGTGAAAGCGTTTTCCATCTTAAATAACTTGAGCAGACATCAGTGGTAATTTCCTTGACTTAATGCTGAGAAATTCACCACAAAACTTTTATAATTAAAAATTCATTGAAGTTACCAGATTTTAATGAAGCATTTCAAAATTCATTTTTACACTTTTAGAATTGAGGATATCTAATATTAAAATACATGAGTCAGTATGTCAAAGAGTTCCAATAAGTTCTTACCGACAGCTGTAGGTATAGCAGGGTACATTAACTCCTTCTCGCGACTCTTGCGACCCGAGGCATCAACGTAAACAGCCAGAAGGTTGAACACTAGAAGATATTCTCCTCTTGTTACTTCAATACAACTAAGAGCCTCACACTGTGTCATAGAGAGGAAGCCCAGTGACTGGCTATCAGGGTGAACCAAGGCTGCAGTTATATAAAAAATAAAATAAAAATTCATCAGAGGTTCGGACCCACAGTAGTACAACAAAACTTATGTATAAATAAGAGTTAAATAGTATACTGATTGCCTATTTTATTTTTTTTTATGTCACAGTGATACTCTGGTATATCCTTATCGTTACCCCTCCAACTAAATGCCACTAATGACACCAAGTAAAGCATTCCTTAATATTTCCATCACTTTCCTTAAAATGCACCTAAGATACTGCAGTAAATGACCCAAAAACAAGAAAAAACACATTTATACAATCATTCATTTAATGTCTTGCGAAAGGCACATTCACATCACAGTTCAAACTTTCATTAAGATTTTCACTCGATTATTACTGCAATAGTTTTTATCAATATACAGTGGAACCTTGACTTACGAGTTTAATCCATTCCAGGAGCTAGCTCAAAACTCAATTTACTTATATATCAAATTAATTTTCCTCGTTTAAATTTAATTGAAAAGCCATTAATCCATTCCTGCACTCTGGCCAGAGAAAAAAAATACTTGAATATGAGGCTATTATCAACTGTATGGCTTATTTATCTGTCAAAATTCATCTAATATGACATAATAAACAATATAATTAACACAGAAACATGATATATACTCTAAAATGAATAAAATAGGCCACAATATGGTGGCAGAGGCAGGGCAGTAGCGTCCGCCATTTTCTCCTAATTTGACTATAGTATCTTCCCCTGTTTTTTTCTGTAAAAAAAACAGTTTTTTTGAGG